TTAGCCTTTCCTCGAAAACTAGTTTACACATGTAGAGATCTCAGGGGGTGGGGATGGGAAAGCATTCCATTGTGTGAACCCTCACTCTCAGTACGAAGTGATACAACCCAGACATGACTTTACCACCCAGTGAGAACTAGGCCACAAACTTGTTGAAATTTAACTGGGCCAGCCACTAATTTCAAGATGTGCAGGATTTGGAGTTTGACTCAATTATTCCTCGGATAGAACAAGGTTTCAGTCATAGAGTATAAAAATATAAGACAGGTGCTTACATATCTACTGGATTTCCTCTTGGCCAAGAATGGGTGGTTATTGCTAAAAAATTGAAAGGCTGACTAAAATAATGAATTAAAATTCACACAACCAGACAATTTTCACAAACGTAGGGAAGGGTGTCACCTGATTAAAGAAACCACAATTAATTGCACGTGTGTTAATTAAATCTTCATAAATTTGCATCTGGATGAAATATTTCTGAGAAAATATTATTAAAGGTTATATACATGTGTCACGTCAAGTTCCACCTTAGAAAAGGCATTCCTTCTCTTGTGTCAGAGAGAAGAGTTAATGCCTCTTCTAACATGCACCTGCCAATTACATTTCTTGGGTTAAAAACATTTTCTGCATAAAATCTACACCTTTTTAATTGATTTTAAATGTCTTTAATCAGTGAATCAAACTGATTAATCTACTAAACTTTGCAACTCTAACAGAAGGTGGAGAAAATAAGGCTGTAATTCCATTCACATTTACATGGTAAGACCAATACAACATAGTGGAATTTGCTTTTGAGTAGACAGGCACAGGCTTGTGCTGTAAATGTCAAACATTTTTGCTTTGGCATTCAGCTGAGTCACATATATGATGCATGCTTGCTAGCATTTTGTCCATTCAAAACCACTTCATCCATTTATAGTATTGCTATTGTTGTGCCATCTGGTTCGTTTCACCTCTCATTGCTGTGTCTGAAGATCAGAATGTCAGTGTTGAAGTGACATAGCCAACAACATTTTTTAGCCTTAGTGAGGAGAAGCTAAATAAGAAAAAAACCCCAATCATTTCAGCTCTGAGGGGCTGCTGTTGAAAGTCTGGCATACACCCTACATGATTTACAGTAAACTTGCTAGCTGAAACACAAAATATCTCAGTGATCAGCCTTGAAAACTATTTCCTTCAGTGAACTATGTTTTTTTATCTTCCAGCCAATCTGAGGTGCTGCACAGGCAGGCACCATTAGCCTCTTTCCAAGAGGACATGGACACATCTTCAGTGGAATCAACTTCTAATAGTCCATTTCTACAAAGGTGCAAAGATACCCCAAACCTCTGCACTCCACCAGAAAGCCAGCTGAGATTCAAACTTCCTTCCTATGAAGATTTTGCTTTGATTGATTCCCTCATGGGGGACAGTCAGGGTCTGAGCACTGAAAAGACAGTGGAACCAAACAAAAAATATCAACCTGTTCCTGCCATAGCGAGAGATGGGGCATTGCCTATAGATTTGGGGGCTGGGCTACTGGAATCCAGTTTTGTACCCAAAGTGGAAGAGGGTGATTTGTACTATGGAATATATGAGGGATCAGAAAATATCCTCATATCTGTTGATGCTGTCTTTGAACCAAAAGACCCACTAAGCACTAAGATAGGGGAATGTGATAACTAGAGACGAGCCTAAAAATGTTCATGGGGGTCAAAAGACACTGGGGGAAAAGCTCAGCCAATCAGTTCAACAGGAGCTGATCTTCATTTTTAAACTAAGGAGGTAGGAGTGCAATTCCCCTGTATTTTGGAGGAATGGGGACAATGTAGAAGAAAAAGTGGAAACAAGGTGCCAACACCTGTTGACAAAGAAAAGTGGCGGGGTGTGTGAATCTACAAAGTTGCCTTATACTGAATTAGACAATTGGTCATCAAGGTCAGTATTGTCTATTCAGATTGACAGCAGCTCTCCAGGGTCTCGGGGTCTCACATCACCTACTGACTGGTTCTTTTAACTGGAGATTCCGGGGATTGAACCTGGGACCTTCTGCATGCCAAGCAGATACTCTGCCACTGAGCCACATGTGGGGTGGGGCAAGACCCAAGGTTTTATTCCAAATGCATCCAGTAGTTTTAAAGGAAAAGAACTCTCACTCCTGTGGTGTGGAATAAAATACATGTCTAACAGTGTTATCACTCCTGTGGTGTGGAATAAAATACATTAACAGTGTGCAAAGTCAATCACAGTCTACCAGTCATGTATGACATCCCTAAACCTCCTGTTATTGTGACCTGTCCATGTGTGCAAAAAGAAGTTCAGGGAGAAAAAAAGTTTTGAAAGCCTTTTTTAAAAGACACACTACATTGCCATGGGGTGCAATCAGTGGGTCTCAAGTTACAGAGGCCTGATAAAGCCTGATATACTTCACCTGGTTTAATTTTTAAAAAACGTGACAGAAATGTTTGGTTGCATTCAGACATCACAAACAAAAAATGGTGTTTGTGATAGGCCTGAACCTGGTTTATTGTTGGGCTCGCACACTGGATTCCACCACCTCTTGTGTGGTGCCCTAATAAAATAGAGCTGTGGATAAGAGTCCCAGTTAATGAGAAAGAAACACACCTCAGTGTGCTAAGGCATCCACATTCAGATGTCATGACTAACAGGAGTTAGCTGAAGACTTCCATCTTCAGTCTCACTGAGCCGTGGGAGCGGGAAGGAGAGGAGGAGCATGTTTTCCTCACACAGTAGACCATGAACACATATAGGCAGCCTATCATGGAAAAAATCCTGTTTGTTTGTGGCTTCTTGGTATGTCCTTATTCTTTGAACAATGTCCTAGATAATTTGAGTTGGTCAAGGGATATGATAAATCACCCTCATAATTAAGATGGTTTATAACCCAGGTTGCAATGGTTGATATGGTTACAAGTGATTGTACAATGTATTCTGTCTTTAAAAATTTTTATTTTTCTAATCTACAAAACTACAGGGTCAGGGTAATGGAAAAACCTAAAATAAGAGTAACAAGGATCCATAATACAGACATATAAAGTTGTTGATCCGTCTCTATTAACATAGTAGTAGAACATGAAGATTACTAATGCAAAAATGTCAAGCAAGCAATCACAATCTCTTTAGCTAAAGTGTAAATATCATAGAATTGAAGTTATGCATTAAAATAGACAACAGGCTATCAGAGTTAAGCTATTTTGCAATTTCCTTTCCTCTTATCAAAGTTCAAATTGATTTTTAGTTCTGCTTCAGAATTAAAGAGTTTTGCCAGACTCTTCGAGATGGTATTGCAGCCTTCCCCATCTTTCTCCTCCTCCTCTCTTCTTCGTCTTCTTCTTCGTCAACGTCTTCGTTCTCCTCCATTTTCTCAGGTCCATCTTCCGCTTTCTATTGTTGCTTCAGGAACATCCGCTTTATTTCTTTCTCACTGAAATTTATTTGAGTTTCTTTTGCAACATATCCAGCTTGACGTTAAGGTTGGTCATCTGGTCCAGTAGAGGGTGCAAAGCTACAGCAGTCAGTTTGGGAAAGTCTGTGGTTACTTCCGATCTGGTGACCGGTGATGCTGTGCTAGCAGTTCGTATTATAAGTTTCGCTTTCAACACCATTTTTTCTCTCACTGAGGAAAGTTTAAAAGTTCTCTGTAAGTCTGGAATTTATCGGTTTCTTGCTGGTCCGCCGCACATTTCATCACAATCTGCTTCCTTCGAGCCTCCTTTTCAGCCTCCTGCTTTAAACTCAGTCCTTTCGGGATCGGGCATTCCCCTCCCCCTTCTGCTTGTTTGGGGCTTTGGGGCGGCTTTACTAGTAACGATTTATCGATTATTTGCAGGATCATAGCTTCACTCACATTTGTACTTGCATTCGCTAGGTATGTAGAGAGGATCATTTCTCGGGATCCTTATACGCTCTGCCCAGTGTACGCCTCTTCGTGCCATGCTGGCCCCATGCCATAAGGGCCTATCAGGGCAAAAAAGTGCCTCAATCCTTTGGCTTCCACCTTGAGAGAGGCACCTCTCATGCCCCAGGCTGAGACCCCCTAGAAGGGGTCTGGGGGGGTCCAAGGTCAACTTGGACCCCCCCCATTAGCATGTTTGTGGGGCACTCACATCAGAGCTGTGATGGAGCACACTCGCACAGCAAGTCGCCAAAACTGGAAGTCTGTACAATGTATTCTGGAAGAAACTGTTGATTTTGTGCAAAAGACCATCCTCATCCATTATCAGGAAAAACAAGCCCGCATTCAACTGGCAGATGATCCTGGAAGGGTGGGATTGTTTTAGTTTTTGCTTATATTTGTTTGAGGCCTCCTTATATTTCTACACTTCTGGGTATCATACAAAGGGAGAATTTTGCCCAGAAGATTATAGGTCATGTTCACCATTACATTTATTGCTTTGTTGTAGACATTTTGGGTAGTGATGAATTCTGCTTCAGTTCAGAAGGTTCAATAGTGACTTTTGAAGTCCCTTCTTGCTTACAGTTCTATGATTTTAAAAAGGTGTTCATGGTAGTGCTACCAAAAGATTCTGCAAAAACTCACCTTCCAACTCACTGAATGAACACATACACTGAGGCAATCAGGCCCCAGTGAAAAGGACACTGTACGCAGAGGCACAATGTCTCTCTCTGTGTATCTTGCAATATACAGGCCTTCTTTTATCTCACCAATCCTAATTACAGGAATAATAATACTACCATTTTCATATGAAACCATTGGTGAATACATACATTCTTACATTTCCTAAATGGTGCTAAATCGCCAAACACATGGCACATTAACGTTATTTAAATTTTTAAAAAATAGTTATAGGTTGAAAAGCCCTTCTGTGGGGATGCTCAGCCACTTCACTGCTCATGCTTCATTGACCAGTGTGACCTCATTGAAGCAGCTGGCATGTGTGAGCAGAAGCCAAACAGAAAGCTGATCATGTGGTCTGAGCACCTCTGCGTTGAGGTCCTGCTTTCTGCTCTGCTTCATGCCTCTTGGCCATTGGAGGTCAGCTCACTGCAGTGGAAAATCAGGAGTGATTTATGTCAGTTTCCAAAGCCTGCCAACTGCTTGGCTTGTCAGTTTGCTACTTCTCCACAGAGAGGAAGCCAAGCTTATAAGCAGCCATGGGGGCAGTGGCTGCATGAAATTGACAATGTATGGCAAAGGGATTGGCGTTAGCTTCATTTTAACTAGGCCATCTGAAATTCAAACCAATGAAGCCTGAATTGCACTTGTGCCACAAACACAATGATCTGGAAGTAAGTCCAATGGATTTCAGTGGGATTTGTTCCTAAGAAACTGTGCTTAGAATCACAACATGGGTCACATACAGTATTTTATTATAGGTTAGTTTCTGAGGGTAACTGTATTGGAGCTTTGATTTCTGAAAACTTATATTCTGAAAATCTTGTTGGTTTCTAAGGTGCTTCTGGACTCAAATCTAGCTGTTCTAAGTTAATTATGCACAATAACTTTCACCCTCTGGAATGCTGATTCACAGGACAAAATGTGGCCCTCCCTGCATAGGAACCTCAGCTGAATGTGAGGAACATTCTAGCTCTTAATCAGAGTTGATTCACAGAAACTTTTAGTCCTGAGGAAGCCATGGGTTTTGGTCTGTCCAGACTGATTCCTCCACAGGTTCTAAGAGGCATGCAACACCACTTCAATATTTTTTATTTATTTATTAGATTTTTTTAGTCCCCACTCACCCAAAGGGTTAAAACCAATAAGGTTAAAAACAACATAAAAACAAATAACAAATATGAAATATTAACATTAAAATATTAAAATACATGACTATTACCATATCGCTATTAAAGTAGCCCAAACATGTGGTTACCCTCCAAAAGCCAACCTAAATAATTCAGCTTTGCATGCCCTGCAGAAACTAAACAAGTCTGGTAGTGCACAGGTATGATCCAAGAGTGCATTCCACAGGGTAGGGGGTCACAACTGAGAAGGCCCTTTCCCCGGTGACAGCTAACAGCTAGCACCCTGGAGCCAGGCACCTGCAAGAAGCCTCTAGATGACAACCAAATGGAGCACAGGGGGTTGTAACGGGAGAGGCGGTCCCATAGATATGAGGGTCCCAGACTGTTAAGGGCTTTAAAGGTTAAGAATTGGATCTGGAGACTAATTGGTAGCCACTGCAGCTGCTGCAGAATTGGAGTAATATGAGCTGACCATGATGTGCCAGTCAGTAACCTGGCAGCTGCATTCTGGACTGCCTGCAGTTTCTGAAGCATTTTCAAGGGTAGCCCTATGTAGAGCAAATTGCAGTAGTCCAGTCTGGAGGTGACTGTTGCATGGATCAATGTGGCAAGGTCTGACCCAGACAAATAAGAAGCCAGCTGCCAGCCTGGCATAGGTGAAAAAATGCTGACCATGCTACCATGGATGCCTGTTTATCCAATGATAGTGCAGAATCCAACCACACCCCGAGGCTCTTTATAGAATCTGAGCCGGCCTTGGCTGGGAGGGCAGGGTAAAAATTTAATAAATCAAATCTACAGCTGTCAACCATTGAGTCTTGAGAGTGACCCTTCAGCTAGCATCTCAGTCTTCCCCAGCCACATGACATCTGTCTTGGATGGATTCAAATTCAGCCAGCTCCCTCTTAACAATTGGACTACCACATCCAGGCACTGGGATAGTGTTGAGAGCCCTGCCACCGGCTGCTTATCCAGGAGGAGGAAGAGCTGAGTGTCATCAGCATATTGATGGTACCCAACTCTAAACCTCCTGACAATCTTGACAAGAGGGTGCATATAGATGTTAAACCCCCACAATTCAGGTCTTGTCAGAAAGACCTCTCCTCCCCCACAGCGACCCTTTGAGAGCTCTGGAGGAGTGAGGAGGACCAACTAAGGGCAGTGCCCCTTATCCCCAGGGTGGCAGGGTGGTCAATCAGGACCAAATGGTCAACTGTACTGAAGGCTGCTGATTGATCCAGAAGGATCAACAGGGCAGGGCTGGCATGCTTTTATCCAGATGTAAATGAACAGAACAGAAAACCTTTATTGGCATAACACAGATGGAAATGGAAATCATCAGCCAAAGCAACCAGTGCTGTCTCAGTCTCAAAGCCAGGCCTGAAGACTGACTGAAAAAGGTCCAGGGCAGATGTCTCATCCAGGAAAACCTGGAGCTGCTGCTGCTCAGCCACTGCTTGCTCAATTACCTTCCCAGAAAAGGTAGATTAGACACTGGGCGATAATTGGCCAGTTCCTTTTTATCTAAGGAGGGTTTTAGCAATGGTCTAACAATCGCCTCCTCAAGGGAGCTGGGGAAGCAGCCCTGTGTGAGAGAGAAATTAATAATCTGTCTCAAAGGGCCATTCACCTCTTCGTGGCATGATTTTACCAGCCACGAGGGACAAGGTAGTTGGCTTCACAGCTGTCAGGATCCTGTCAACATCTGCAAGAATGAGCAGGCTAAAAGAGTCCAAAAAAGAACCAGATGGTGCAAGCAGAGCCCCCTTCTCACTACTGTTATAGGGTTGCCAGTCCTCAGGTCTGAGCAGGGGATCCCCTGCTTTTGGGGGCTTCTCCCTGCTGTGGACCAGCTGGCCAGCAGGGGAAACCCTGCCTCTAAACAGGGATGTTACTGTGCAATGTCCCTGACATGATGACGTCACCCAGACATGACATCATCACATCAGGGACATCACATGGGGACACTCTTGTTTTTGGGCAAAACTCTATGGTTTGAGGGTGAATTTACCATAGAACTTCACCCAAAAACCAGAGCATTGCCCCCAGCGTCACTGACATGATGACATCACTTTTGGGTGACATCATGTGACATCACATGACTTCCCCACCCACTCCCGGAATGTACCCCAAATCCTTCTGGATCGACAAGGGCACCTAGCAATGCTATACTGTTATCAAATTCAGCAGCCAACTTCAAGCGGAACTTAGAGACTTTATCTGCAAAAAAATCGCAATGAAAAATCCATCTTTTATCACCATTTATTCACCAAGACTGTTGCAATATCCCTCTTTATCATGAGCTACCCCTTTCAGTATTTTAAGAATGCAAAAAGGTGAAAGACATTTGGAAATTTCCACAAGAGCATAGAGTCCTTGTTTGTCAAAGAACACTGATTATACTTGTCTTTCTTTAGAAAACTTATCAGGATGGAAGCTTATGAGTTCGCTTTTGCCAATTAATATTGATATTAAACAGGGTTTATTTTGAGTCATGGCTCACTGATTTGGATTCAGTGCCAGGTTTTAGAACATATTAAGGAAAAGTAAAATAAAATAATGTATATACCTAAAATGAAGCATGGTCTACTTGAGTGATTGTCTAGTTAACTCACAGTTTTAATATTTTTGTACATCATACTCCATATAAAAATAGTTAAGTTTTTAGTAAGAATTCATTCCGCAAGGAACTCTTTGCAACATCTGGAGTCTGTAATTTATTTGTATTTATGTTTCAATAGGTTTTTAGGAGGTAAAAACTACCTAGATTCTTTGTAAAATCACTGAAAATAAAATTTCCTGTACCTTCCATCTCTCACAGATAGTTGAGACATGACAAACTGTAGGTGAAGACAAATAATCAAGTACCCCAGCCTGCCTATTTTAGGTTTGTATGTGAGATAACCTGGGAAGGAAATGCAGATATCACTGTGACTCTCATATTCCAAGAGATCAAATTGCATTGTCTCTGTCAGAATTTCCTTCATGAGATAAAATTGTATTGTTGCTTTTAGAATTAGGTTCTTCCCTACTTAACATACTAACAACATCTGTTAGTGACAACAGTGTGCCAGACGTGGACCTGCAATGTGCAGTTCTCATAATTCACCAACTTCACACAGTAAGGAAGGAAGTTGGACTGTCATTTAGGCAAAGAATCTTTGGGATATGGGAAAAACTGATCAGGATTAGAGAGAGGGTGTAGAAGCAAAGAAGAGGCAAACAGCTAATCTTGAGTTTCTGAAATGTAAAAGCTAGATCTACATGTCAGAAACACAGGACTCTTGCCATAAACAGTCCTGTTTTGTGTCTCCCTGTTCCTCTTACCCCATGGCTCGAAACCAATATACTCTGCCTTGTCAGTAGCTGCTCGTGATGGTGAGGCTGTGGTTCAGTGATAGAACATGTGCTTTGCATGAAAGAGGACACAGATTTAACCCCAGCATCTGCATTTAAGCGATCTCTTGCAGCAAATGTTGAGGAAGTCCTTTTTCTGCTTGTGACCCTGGGGAGTTGCTGCCAGTGAGAGTAGACCATAATGAACTAGGTGGACCAATGATCTGACTTGGTATAAGCAGGGCCGGTGCCAGGCTTTTTTGCACCCTAGGCAAGGCTGACTACTTGAGCCCCACCCCGGCGAACCAATTTTCTCTCTAGCTCCCCCCCCCTCTGAAGATGTGTGCAAGCAAACAACAACTTATAGCTGGAATAAAAGGCTGTTGGTCTTACACAGGACTGCCTTTCTCTCTGGCATGATCTCTCTAGCTCCCCTCCCCGAAGACGTGTGCAAGCAAACAAAAACTTACAGCTGGAATAAAAGGCTGTTGCTCTTATATTTCTCTCTGCAGGGCAGCGAGGCTCCGAAGGGGGAAGCGGAGGGTGGGGCAGGGCTTTCCCGGCAAGAGGTGTCTAGAGGTGGAGTCACCCTGGCAGGGCTGTCTCTGCGTTGTGAGCCTCCCCACCACCACCCCAAGTCCTGGCCAAGAGCGACCCTGCTCAACTTCGGAGAGCTCAGCTCGGCTGGCCCATCCAGGTCAAGTCTGGGCTCAGCTGGCTTTGCTAAAGGACTGGGGGGACGCACGTGTGAGATGCCACTGCCCCCCAAGAGAAGAAGCCTCTGGCCAGCCCCACAGGGGGAGCCACCATCCCCCTGTCTGCCCCACCAGCAGCTCGTCCAGGGAGGTGGGGTCAGTGGAGGCAGCCCCGGCAGAGATGGACTGGTTGGGGGGACACAGCCCCTGCCGAGTCCTGGGCACCGAGTCTCTTATCTCTGCCCGAGGGCCACCTGGTGCCACGTCCAGCCTGGGGAGCGCTCGTCCACTGCACTTTGTGGCACTCTAGAGTGGGCAGGACACAGAAGTGTGGTGGCAAAGGGCTTTCAGTGAGGGAAGGGCACCAGAGTGGGGCTGGGGCAGCAGGCCAGCGCGGTGCCCTCCTTTGGTGGCTCCCTAGACATTGGCCTAACCCCACCTTATGGAAGTGCCGGCCCTGGGTATAAGGCAAATTCATATGGTCCAACCAGGTGCTACTTGATGTGGAGCAGCAGTGGGGAAACACAACCATGTTGTGATGTTAGAGGAGACCATTGCCCTGACTGATGTCCTGACTTTCCACTATCCTAGTTCTAAAGCTTTGCTAAAATGTGTTGTCTTTGCTGGAACTTACACTGGCAGAGCTAATCCTACTTGTACACCATATAAACAATAACTTCAAATGTCCTGTTTATACTAAATAAAAAACTTCAGTTTATGACCACAAAGTGTCCTTCAAAGCTCTGCCTGCAGCTCACGAAGGTTGCAGCCTCAGCTGCATTTGCAGAAGATCCATCTAATACCCACTGCATCTACTTTCATGAATATTATAGGGAGACTGTCATGTATCTACTACTGGGCAATTTGGATACCTTTGATCCACTTTTTACTTTCACAATATTTATGAATGATAATGCCTCCATCACTGAGACACTGGGATCATCTTGCTTTCTATGGCACTTCAAAATCCTGCCTGTTGTAACTCTTCAGTTTCTCAGTATTTGCCAAGGGAATATTATTGTGCTTTTTAAATCCTTCATTGCTAGCACCGCTGGCCATTTGTAAAAGCATCCAAAATAACATCTCACCCATTCTATCAAACTTGCATCTACTTGATGTGTGGCAAATAAAGTTCAAATTATTCTGCAGCTTGGATGATTCTGTGGACAGCCTGGCTACAAGTTAAATGAAACAAAAAGAGATAGAGTCCTAAGATCAGTACTCCTTTCTACTGTCTCTCTTATTTTTGTTTGTTTGTTTGATCTGTAGACTGACCTTCCAAGGCAAAAAATAATAATCAGAGATCAAATTTTGATTGCCATGCATACATGAAAATTATCTGTCTCTGCATGTGTATGTGTGTGTGATTTATCAGTGCCTTATGCACTGACTGCTCCTTGGAATGACAAGCATAAAAGCTCTACGAAGTGAGAGATTTACTAAATTAGAAAAATACTGGGCCGTAGAGTCTTGAGTGGGGAAAAGACCAAGAAAATGTGGAGAACAGATTCCAGAGCTGCCAGCATTAATTACTTGAGCTTCAATGACCCAAATCCATTTCACCAGAATTGGCCAAAGAATCCAGATCAATACCAATGGATTTGATTTTAGACATTATGAATTGAGAACAATTTGAGGTGTAAGGGTCCGCAGGGAGGAGAGCAATAAGACTATTAGGAGGTGGGCTAAAATGGAGACGAAGCCAATACTTTAAAACAATAGACCACACCCTTGATTCAATAAGGTGTAAACCCAACTCAGCGCAGAGAGTACAATAAGTAACAGAATTGGGGAGCCTTGATCCGTCCCCTTCGTTCTTCTGCAAAATCTATGTCTAATAATGACTTAGGTTTTTTTGCTGTCTGACAAATCTTTTGAAATCATTGCATCTGTCGCTGAGTTCCTATCATGTGTATGGAAGTTAAGGGTTAGAGACTGTAATACTTAAATGTACTTTCTCCCCTCCATTTTATTAATTTTAAATGGGTTCTGTTTGGTGGAGACCCTTTTAATGTATGTGTATGTGTATATATATTTATTGGTGTAAAAAGTTTTGTTTTTTGAATGTTGTATTACTATGCCATTAAAGGTTTTCCCTCTCTCTCGGACTGCTCCGTGCATTCATTTCCCACATCTCAGCGAGATTCCAAATACAGAAAAATAGAGCTATGCCACATTAGCAAATTTTCTGATTGTCTAGCACTACATCATGTGCATAGTTTCTTCTGTATAGAAACACTGGAAGGTGAAAGCAATGTCAGAGCTAGGTGGATTGTATATACACTTTTGAGGGATACTTGTTGGGTGTGGACAGAAGAAAAGTGTTTCCTAAACACTTTACAGTTTCCTAAACACTTTCCTATACAGGGGATTAGCTTTGTAAAATACAGAAAAATGAATTCACCTGTTCAGACCTGCTTGCTGCCCCCTCCAAGACAGGTGTTTTAACATGCAAGAAATGTTGTGTTTTTCACCATACGAGATATTATGTGATCTCACTACTACTTTCCATAGTTTAAACTATGAAGATAGAAGAGAATGAGTCAGCAAGCTGGGCTCACATGTTTTCAAGTTTACATTAGGTACTAAGGGTAGGATCCTACAGTCACTTTCAGCATAAGAACACCTCTACCAGTGTCAGGGGGGCAAACCCCTCACACATGCACAGAGCTGTTCCCTGAAAACTATGGGCAGCTATTCAGGGGACGCAGAAAGCTACAACAGGAGCAGAAGGCAGAAAAGTTCTGTTCTCTGTGTGGAATTCTACTTGTGAATTGAAGGATCCAAGACTAACAGTTTAGATTCTTGGGATCCCCAAATGACTGTCATACATCAGATTCTATGACTGTGCAGCAATAACATGGACTTGCAGAGGATTTGAACCGTAAAAAGATGATCTAAAATGTTTCATTAACAACCACATATTAATTTGACCTCCTATTCCTTTTAATTCTGGGAATGGGATGAGAATCATGGAAATCTAAAGATACAGGTGGAATTTTTAATTTCATCAACTTTATTCAGTTCATTAACAAGAACTGTCAATATCTTTACACCATGTGTGGGCAGACTTTGTTTATGAGAGCTCCTTAATCTTTTTCAAGAGCCTTTAGAGCCACAAGTATTAAAATGGCAGTTTGGTGGGTGGAACCAGTCACAAAATGGCAGCTTGCACAAAAATTACAGTGTTTCAGAGAAGGTCTGCAGTGCTCAGGTGGGAAATCCTTTGCTCTGCTGTTCTCTTGAGAGCCAGTTTGGTGTAGTGGTTAGGAGTGTGGACTTTAATCTGGGAGAACTGTCCACCACATTCTCCTTCAATGTCCCTTTTATCTGGTGCCCCGCCAGGATCTTCTGTATCCTATATTAGCTCAATTCTCAGAGATTGCTGACGATTTTAAGGTTCTGTTTTTGCTTGATAATCAAGATACGGAAATAACTGAAATAGTAGCAAGGTTTCTTCTTAGTGTTATGGCTATACGTTCTGATAAGTAACCATTAGGTTTTTCTGCTTTCATGCTGTTTTTCTGCGCCGTAGCTCCAATTTTACCCTATTTGTATTTGTATTTTCTGATCTATATTTAATCTGATCTCCTATTGTATGTGTATACGTATGCCAATAAAGGCTTGTCAAATGTGAAAACACCACTACCTCAAACTGTAACTTGCTCTACAGGAGGAAAACACAGTCACCTATGTTTCCCATAGAAGAGGCAAATACTAGCTTTGATGGAGGGGAAAAGAGTTAATGGCTCACTGTTTCCCTATGCTTTGCATATCCCCAAGACTATGAATATTACTTCATCCATGCATAGTGAACATTTCCATGAAGGTATGTGCCTCATGGACAAGGCTGCTTTTGGCTGAGTAGCTCAAACTCAGTCAGGGTTAAATATTGTAGGAAGAGACATTCCTGCATGAAGTTCTTAAAAAGGCAAAAAAAAAAAATCTGAAATGCTGAAGTAGTAATCAAAGTCCTAGTAAATAACCTTGACATTGAATGCTGGAGCCAAAATACTTAACAGTGTTACCAGAATAACTCACCTGAGAGGAAATTTAAAAAGGGACATTTAAAGAACAATTTCTGATTTTTTTAGGCAGTGCATGAGGTTCTTGACTGAGGTTATTATGCCCTAGTAATAAGGCCTGGTTTAGTCATGGACTGCCTCTGTACGCTGCAATATAATCTGGTCAGTGAATGTAGGGGATTGGTTTCTTTCCAGATTTGCAGTAGGGAAAATATCCACATCATATTGAATCTTAGTACTGAGGTACATAAGAAGGCAGGAGAAGGGTCATGATAGTGGGAAGGGAAGGGAAAAGAACAATAAAGCTAAGGGCTTGTGCCTGTTCTATAGGGTAAATGGTGACACTGTCAATACATTAGGAAATTACATAAGGGTTTGGATCCACTCAAGGATTTTCATGAACAGAAAGGGAACGATCCCCACCAATTCTCCTGTCCTGCTGCAGATTTCCAACACCCCCCATGCTGTTTGTGAGGGTCCCCTGTCTTCCAGAAATAGCATTTGGGGGGCATTTTGCACTGAGAGGTGGAGGAGAGAATATTTTGCCCCACTGATAGATAACCCTTCTATCAGTGGAAATTTCCAGTGGATCACAGCTGTGGAGAGGAAGGCTTGAGAGAAAAGATGAGTTTAGTTTTGGACATGGTACGTTTGCAACAGTAATAAGACATTAGGCAGAAATATCGAACAGTTAATTGGAAATGTGAGATAACTGGATAGAAAGATAAGGTCAGAATTAGAGATGTAGAGCTGGAGGAGATGTATAAGTGGTATTGAAAGCCATGGAACTTGAAGAAGTCACTTGGCAACAGCTTATAGGAAGAGAATAGATGAGGATCACTGACAGATCCTTAGGTAATTCACAATGGAGACAGAAAAAGGAGAGAAAGGAATTCCTATTACAGAAACAATAAATGAACAATTAAGTCAAGAGAGAAGCAGTTGACAACTGGGTCACAGAAACTGAAGGTATGGAAAAAGGCAGCAGAGAAGTTCAAAGAGAACTTGGCAGTGAGGAGATCAGTTATTTTTGGTAAGAGAAGATCAACAGCAGTGCTGCTTCTGTGCCACCAACCAGCCCCTGACCCCACCTTCAGCTCCTTAGGCCCCCTACCTTCTGGAAAGAAGAGACCCTAGACCTTGGACTATGTCATCAGTTACCAGGCATCAGAAGAGACTGCTGTCCATTCACCCATCATCATCCTGTATCTAATGTTGAATCTGGCCTGGTTTGGAGGGGGTTTAAAGTTCCCCAAAAGACTAATGTTGTCTGCACAAGCTCAGTGTTCCATTTAGGGTGGCTGGTGGGGTGGGCAGAGGAGCAGGAGCTGCTGCCACCTAAGCAGGCAGGTGAAAGAGACACCCAGAAATGCTGCTCCATGTGTTAGGAAGGTGGGTAGGAGGAGGAGACAGCTGGAGTCACTGCTACACATGCCAGGCAGGTTGGGGGGGGAGGAGCATGGGGGAACTGGAGTTACCACCACTTGAACCAGGTAGGTGGAGGCAGTGGTGCTGCAGGTGGGTGAGAGGGAGGAAGAGGAGGAGGAGGAAGGCAGCTGTTGATGTTGGCTTTGCAGTTGGATGAGCTGGTGAGTGGGCTGGCTGGCAAATGGGTGATCCAGTGAAGAAAGTGGTACAAAAAGAGTGGGATTTCCCCTGCATGAGTCTTGCAATTCCCTGCTTGTTATACTTAATTCTCAACATGGTCTGAGATTTGTATCCTTAAACCCACATACTAGAGCCATGAACAGTTAAGACAAATATTTTTACAAACCAGAAAAAAAATCAGTTTGAAGCAAAACCTGAAACATTAAAAAGTAAACTGAGGGCTAAACACTCCCCAAATAATAGAAGCAGCACCTGTAGCTTTAAGAAATTGATGTCGTCTGATCATTCTCAGTAGCCTTTTTGTGGGCTTCTAGACCACCAAAACAATTTCCAACTTTCAAGACTTGGTTTCTGTCAATAAAAGGCATGGCTGAGGGTGCACCTGTTGTAAGAAAAATGTGTCCCCACACTCCCCCTCTGGTTCGTGTGTCCCCTTACCAAAGGCAGAGGTGTAAGCTTGGAAACCACTAAGTGCTGACAGAGACACAGAAAGGTCTCTTATTAAAATAAAACTTATCTTTATTAAAAGAAAATACATTCTAAGATTTACCAACACAGTACACTCCTATTTCCTAAATGCTGATGGTGAGAACATAAACAATAGACATGCAAGCAAAGCCCCAATAAACATGCAAGCAAAGTCCCCCCCCGCCGAGCATGCAAGAAACGAAAGGCCCTTTTGGGCTGACTCCAAAAGGCTGTCAGAGGGCAAAGACCTCTCTTGTTCCTTCAGGAGTCAGAGAAGGTCTGTTGAATCTAACCAGTATTTATACCAAATGATCAAAGGGTTCCCTTTAATAATCAAATTACAGTTCTAAATTAACATTTAGAAGTTGAAATTGTCCTGCAGGAAATTGCTTCCTTGCGTCTTATACAACAAAAGTTCACATTCCACA